CCCCGCCCGCCGAGCGGCTGCCACCTGCGCCGGGACCAGGCTGCCGTTTGCCGCCGCGGGAGCGGGCCGGTCTCCCCCGCCCCACCGCAGAGCCCGGGCCGCCACCGCCCTACCTCCGCCGGGCCTTCCTCCCTCCGCCGGGCCTCCCTCCGCCTTCCCCGGGCACACGCCGCCAGCCTCAGCGCGTCGGCGCCCAGCGCGGCCCCGCTCCGCCCCTCAGCACCGCCCTGCGCCCGCCTCTGCGCCGGCGCGGCCTCCCCCCTCCGGCCCGGCCTCCCGCCCCGGAGCGGGCCCGGCGGAGAGCGGGGAGGGAGGGAGGGAGCCCGTCACGGCGCGGAGAGGAGCCGCTGACAGGCGCGGCCCGGCGGGCGGTGCCAGGCGGGGCCGGGGGCCCCGGGCGGAGAGACCCCCGGGAGCGGGCAGAGACGGGCGGGATGGTGAAAGGCGGCCTTAAAACGGTGGTGGCGTTTCCTCACAGGGAACTGCTGGAGAGAGTCCAGCGTGGGGCAAGAAGGCTGATGGAGGGATTGGGGCATCTCCCTGATGAGGAAAGGCTGAGAGAGCTGGGGCTCTTTAGCCTGGAGAAGAGAAGGCTGAGGGGAGACCTTATCAATGCTGACAAGTATCTCAAGGGGGGGTTGAAGGAGGATGGAGCCGGACTCTTCTCAGTGGTTCCCAGTGACAGGACGAGGGGCAACGGGCACAAGCTGGACCATGGGAAGTTCCACTCCAATCTGAGGAAGAACTTCTTTGGGGTGAGGGTGGCAGAGCCCTGGGACAGGCTGCCCAGGGAGGGTGTGGAGTCCCCTTCTCTGGAGATCTTCAAGCCCCACCTGGATGCTCCTGAGTGCTGTGCTCTGGGCAGCCCTGCTTTGGCAGGGGAGTTGGACTGGATGGGCTCTAGAAGGTCCCTTCCAACTCCAACAATTCCCTGATTCCACAAATAGCACGTCTCCTTCATCGTGCGTCATCTAGTGAAATCGTGGCCAAGTCAGGTCAACAGAGACTTCACAGCCCCAGGGGTGTCTCTCGCTGCTGTTTAACAGGTGACATGTTGTCCCCGCACACCGTGTTCCACCGCTGGCAGTAAGGGGACAGGTAACAACACTGGTTATGTCCAGTGCTGCCCAGTCTGCCGTCAGCCATTAACAAACCTTCACAAGCACCTCCAGGTTCTGTGTTCACCTTGGTGCACAAGGGGGTCACCTGCACTTGTACCTGAAAGAGCAGCACTTCCCCAGCCAAACACCTGCGTTGCTGCTGCTGGTTTTGGAGACAAGAGCTGATGGTGTTGCTTCATTTTTTTAATTTTTTTTTTTTAATCTCCTTTATATTTACCAAAATCTACTTGTTTTTTTTCATGGAATCACAGAATCACGGAATTGTTGGAGTTGGAAGGGGCCTTCTAGAGATCATCCAGTCCAACTCCCCTGCCAAAGCAGGGCTGCCCAGAGCACAGCACTCAGGAGCATCCAGGTGGGGCTTGAAGATCTCCAGAGAAGGGGACTCCACACCCTCCCTGGGCAGCCTGTCCCAGGGCTCTGCCACCCTCACCCCAAACAAGTTCTTCCTCAGATTGGAGTGGAACTTCCCATGGTCCAGCTTGTGCCCGTTGCCCCTCGTCCTGTCACTGTTGCTGTTTTCTTGTGATTGTTTTCTCATCAAGACCTGGCTTAATTTAACCCGGGCTTCACTTGAGGGGAAGCACTCTTTTTACATGGGTTTATGGAAGCTGATGGATTTGAAAATGCTGAAGCATATAGTATCATAATTAAACCATGCTCAAGGAATGATGAGGCCACGTAGGGAGGTGTGAACATAAATAATTTATGAATTGATGTAATAGAATCATAGAATTGACTAGGTTGGAAGGGACCTTTAAGATCATCTAGTCCAACCATCAAGATAAGCATGGAAGCATTTTTTCCCTTTAATAGAGAAGTGTGGATGGATATTTTTTTTCCTTTAATGGTTACAGTTTTGGTTTATCCACTCATTTAATATTCATTTTTTATTCTGTATAGAATCATAGAATGATTTGGGTTGGAAGGGACCTTAAAGATCATCGATTTCCAACCCCCCTGCCCTGGGCAGGGACACCTCCCACCAGACCAGGTTGCTCAAGGCCCCATCCAGCCTGGCCTTGAACCCCTCCAGGGATGGGGCAGCCACAGCTTCTCTGGGCAACCTGTTCCAGTGTCTCACCACCCTCACAGCAAAGAATTTCTTTCTGGTATCTCATCTAAATCTCCCCTCCTTCAATTTAAAACCGTTCCCCCTTGTCCTGTCACTGCACTCCCTGACAAAGAGTCTCTCCCCAGGTCTCCTGTAGCCCCCTTTAGGTATTGGGAGGAGGCCATTATAAGGTCTCCCCGGAGCCTTCTCTTCTCCAGGCTGAACACCCCCAGCTCTCTCAGCCTGTCCTCACAGCAGAGGTGCTCCATCCTCTGATCATCTTCGTGGCCCTATTTAGTAGAGCAAGCTAAAAGTCAGCATTCCCAGGGTGTTTTGTGTCTGGGTCCCCGGGGTGCCCCGCGGGTTTTTCAGACTTCGTGGCCATATTTAGTAGAGCAAGCTAAAAGCCAGCATTCCCAGGGTGTTTTGTGTCTGGAGCCCGGTGTCCCCGGGGTGCCCCGCGGGTTTTTCAGAGCTGCAGCTTGGGGGGGGGGTTCTCCTTTCCGAAGAAACCAGTGTGGTCTCGGTGCTCCCTTCCCCGCCGTTTGGCGGTGGCTGGGCTGTCCCTGCGGGTCCCCCCCCGCCTCCAGCCCCGCCGCGGTGGCTGTGGAGCGGCGGGCGAGCTGAGGCCACTCCTCGCCAGCCCATCGCCGCCGCGGGAGCACAGAGGCAGCGTCCCCGCTGCAGAAGGAGCTGCAGAAGGAGCTGCAGAAGGAGCCGGGCACCCCGGGAGCACCATGTCCCTGCAGGTGAGCGCTCCTGCGGCCGGGAGGGGACGGGGAGGGACGCGGTGCCGCCCCGGAGGCAGCCATCGGGATGGGTACCGCAAAATCACGGTCACCTTGCGGCACGGGAGATTTGCCACAGCCTCTGGAGATTAAATAACGTTACTTTTCGCAAGTGGAGGGTGAGAGACACGCTGCTTATTTCAGACTGTTCGTAGGTGGTGTCATTGCTTTGAGCCTTACCTCTTCAGACGATTCCTGAATTATTTTTCTTTTATGTGCGCGTCTGAGTTTGCTAGGACTGGGTTATCTGAGTTTGCTAGGACTGGATTATCTGAGTTTGCTAGGACTGGATTACCTGAGTTTGCTAGGACTGGATTATGCACTGAAAGGTAGGTACATATTTCTTTTTTCTAGGATCCTGCTAGTCGCCTGGAGCTATAAAAAGAGGAGGGAAACTTCTAGCACTAAAGCAGTGCTATTCGTGCATTTGGGGAGCATGAATAATTTTTAAGGGAGTTGTGCATGTTTTTTTAAGATGTGTGCATCTTTGGGGTGGCACATTTTGATGGGCTTATGTTTGGGTAGGAGAGCTTCTACTTTCGACCTTCTGGGTCAGGGGAGCTTCCTTCTACCTTCTCTCTGACTATAGATTTAAATAGTTCTTGAGGAAATTATCTTCGTTGCTGGCATTTAGCCTCCTACCTTTGTAGCAAACTGTGAATACGTCCCTTGTCTTGCCCATGCCCTGATGGATTAGGCTGTTTTTCTTCATTAGGCTTTCTATTATCCCTTTCACTTCCAGATTTGCAAGCCCTTTTATCCCGGTCTCATTATAATGTCTGTCTCGGCTTAGTTAGTGTGTGTGTTTTGCAAAGAGTGAGCAACATAATGCTCTGACCTAGATGCAGGGAATGTGTTGCCAGTAGCTCAGCAATTTTCTTCTGAGCTGCAATTATGTCCAGCGGCACAGAGATTTCATTGTGGTGTTTTACAGCTAAGAGGAAGAATCCGATTTCTTCAGTGGGTCAGAAATGCCAAATCCCAAACGTGACACCACCTTTGTTTAGTTAGTGATCACTGAATTCATAGTTTGCTTTATTCTGCCTTGAATTTGCTCTAGAAAATAAATTTATTAGCCTGATGATTTAGCAGAAAGAGGTGAGTGCTGTATGATGTGCCACTGCTGTCTACAGGTACACTTTTATACAAAATATTATGATACCCTACACATTCTGCATTAGACATTATAGAGGTTGTTTATCCACAGTTGCTTTGATTGACAGCTACCATCCCTATCCATAAAAATTCACTGAATCAAGCTGTACAGGAATGAGGATGAAATGAACACAATAATGTTTTCATTGGGGGGGGGGCACTGTAAAAGATTTCTAAGTTTTGCAAACTGGTAAAATGTTCCGCTGTAAATGAAGAATTCATTCAAGCTTTTTCCTTTGCAATAAGGGAGTATGTGATAATAGCCTGATGATTTGTGCATTTTTCTTTAATGCATGTGTGCATGTGTATGTTTATGTTTGTCTATATTCTTATGCTTTTAAATTGAGGAGTTAAAGGGAATTTTATCGGCACACGATTAAAAAGGAATTATATTTTTATAGGCCACTCCTAAGCATGTTCTGTAAGCAAGCAAATCCTAAGCAATGGTCTGTGTACAGTTATTGGCTAGAGGGAGATGAAGAAAGAAACATTTAGTATTTAAATTTCATTTCTGCATATTTCTTGCTGTGTAAGATACACATTTACATGTTTTTAAAACAGTTACCTTGCAATACTTGCCTATAGAACCAAATGGAATAAAAGGATAGGAAGATAAGAAGCTTATTAACTTAACGGTTTCCTTTCTGAAATTTTTTTTTTGAGTTATCTTTTGTCTTATACAAGCCTAATTCATTCTTACTGTGAAGTTTAGATCAGAAAACAATTCAAGGCACGTGGAAGATTTCCGCTGACTTTGAACAGTGACTGTAGGTCAGTGCTGGCCGAGGCTCACACGCAGCAGTGGCCACAGTATCAAGATGAAGATAAAGCTTATTTAAACTTTAACTGATTGTGGCAACTCAGTTATGTTTCATTATTGATACCACTTCTTCATCTTCCTGTCAACAGAGCGGGAATGCTGCTTTGTTTGAACGTGTGTGAATGTAATGTTAAGAGATGTCTGTGGTGTAGGAGTCAGTGATTGGTGTAGTCCAGAATGTCACATTGCTTTTAGGAGTGTCAAAGATGGACAGTATGCCATTTTTAATTCAGTGGTAAGTTAGTTGCACTGTTGATTTAGTTTCCCCTCCTTGAGCACTTCTCCATAATAAATGCTGTACATCTACGTTGTCAGTGCATATGTGGACGCGTGTGTTTGTGTAATCGGGCTGCAGTTTCGGTACCCAAGTACAAAAACTCCTTTATGTCCTAATGCTGCGGTCAACCCCCTGCAGCGCTCCAGGCTGGGGGCAGAGTGGCTGGAGCTGCCTGGCAGAAAAGGACCTGGGGGTGTTGGTGGCCTGTGGGCTGAACAGGAGCCAGCAGTGTGCCCAGGTGGCCAAGAAGGCCACCAGCATCCTGGCTTGTGTCAGGAACACTGTGGTGAGAAGGACTCGGGAGGTGATGGTCCCCCTGTACTGGGCACTGGTGAGGCCCCACCTCGAGTGCTGTGTCCAGTTTTGGGCCCCCTACCACAAGAGGGACATTGAGGGGCTGGAGCGGGTCCAGAGAAGGGCAATGAAGCTGGTGAGGGGTCTGGAGCACAAGTCTTACGAGGAGAGGCTGAGGGAGCTGGGGGTGTTCAGTCTGGGGAAGAGGAGACTGAGGGAAGACCTTCTCGCTCTGTACAAGTACCTGAAAGGTGGTTGTAGAGAGACGGGGGGCGGTCTCTTCTCCCAAGTTACAGACGATAGGGCAGGGGGGAGGTGGTGGGGAGTAGTGGGGTGGTTTTTGTGGGGGTTTTTTTTTTGTTTTTTTTTTTTTTCGGTTGGACTCGATGATCTCTGAGGTCCCTTCCAACCACTACGATTCTGTGTGATTCTGTGTGAGTTCCTCTGCAGTAAGAGCCCATGTCCTTGCTCCCGCTCTGAGGGAAGCACAAAGTGGAGGGGGCTGATTTTGATGGAGGGGTAAGCTACCCATCTGTCGAGGTATACGGCGAGCCAAAAAGTCATATGCACAGTCTCACAAGCACTGTGAGCTCAGAGCCCTGTTCAGCTTTGGTGGGGTGCCTGCCTGCCCCAAGCTGTGCCCCAAAGCCCCCGGCGCTCTCCCCGCGCTGTTGGCAACTCGCTGGTCTCAAACACCTGCGTTCACCTTTCCAGTTTTGCTTCTGAAAGGAAGGTTATTGATATTTACTTACTTTCTATGGCCCTTGGCAATTTTTTGGTGAAAAGTTAAAAATGAGTTCAACATCTAAAGCTGCTGCAATTCAGGCAGAGTTACCCTACAGAAGGACAACAAGAGGAAGTACCGCATAAGAGGAAAAATAAAGATTGCAAGGTTTTCATGAAAGCAAATATTAATATTACAAATATTAGGAATTCCTCATAGTGAAGACTTTATTATATTGCTTGCAAGAAGTACGTATGAACCACATACTGGGATTAATAATTAAAACACTGTTCGTTTCATTTATGGCCAAAGATACCTCTCTCTTGAACACCTAGGATAAACCAGAGATTGAATGATGCATGATGCAAAATGTTTTTGTTTGCACCTAAGCTAGAAGCTGTCAAAGCTTTCATTTCTGGAGAAAGAATAGATTTCTCTAATAAAATTTAAGATAAGGATTTTCTTGTTTGTATGGATTTTTTCTTCTATGGCATCAAGAACAAGTAGATGTAGAGAATATACCGTTTTCACATTAGCCTAACGGCTGGTCCTAAGGGAAATACTGTTACAACTTGTGCTCTAAGCCTCATAAAGTCCAATAAAATTCTAATGCCAGACTTTATGGAGTAATTAGCAGGAGTTTCTCTGTACCCTTCTTAATTGCTGTTCAGCAGATTTAGTACTTAAGGAAAAAAATAAAATACCTGAAATAACCTGTCTGTAGCCACAGCTATTGCAACTGTGGCAGTGCAGCCAGGGTTACAGACACTTTTTCAGCAGGAATTCCTTAGGGATCTGATTCTACCACTGTGTGCGTCGGGAAAACTTGGCCAGCTGACAGAAGATTTTATCATTTAGTGATTTGACCTGAAATAGAAGGGTTTTCATTCTTGTATAATTACATTCATAAAACGTTTCCATATTTCCTTTTAACATCTACGATTTAATGGGGTTTTAGAAGAACAAAAATTAATTGACTTGCATTTGGTGGCAAATAATAGAAGTGTCTCCTACATCTGTATATATACAGATATATATCTGCTATAACTGTATCTCTATACATGGAGATATTTCACCCCTGGCATGACAGCAGAACCCTCCATTCATAAATATACATATCTGGAGTTCTTATTTGTAAGTATTGAATCTACATCATTATTAATGCCCCTATTGCTAATCTAAAACATTAAATCAAACTGAAATTCTTTTGTTTAGCTGACTTGCCAGAGCACTTTCCTCTTTTTTAAATTGCACAAGCTCCTGCTCCACAGAGCTTATTACTTTAAGGTAATTTCAAAATGTTTGTTTTAGGGCAGTGAGGAGATACAACCTTTGCTGTCAGACTGCAAAACGCCAGCCCATACAGGTTAGAAAAGGCCTCTCAACGCTCGTATTTATGTAAAGGTCGCTACATATTGTGAAGGTTGAGGACTCTGTGCGTCCTATTTATCCTGCCCCTCTGCTCTGCTCTGCCCTGGGGAGGCCCCATCTGGAGCACTGGGACCAGTTCTGGGCTCCCCAGTTCCAGAAGGACAGGGAACTGCTGGAGAGGGGACAGCAGAGGCTACAGAGATGATGAGGGGCCTGGAGCATCTCCCTTACGAGGAGAGGCTGAGGGACTTGGGTGTTTTTAGTCTGGAGAAGAGAAGGCTGAGGGGGAATCTGATCAAGACCTAGAAAAATACTCAAAGGGAGGGTGTCAAGAGGATGGGGCCGGTCTTTTTTCAGTGGTGCCCAGGGACAGGACAAGAGGAAATGGGCACAAACTTGAATATAAGAAGTTCCACCTAAACACAAGGAGGGACTTCTTTGCTGTGAGGGTGGCAGAGCCCTGGCAGAGGCTGCCCAGGGAGGTGGTGGAGTCTCCTTCTCTAGAGACATTCAAACCCGCCTGGACACGTTCCTGTGGGACCTGCTCTGGGTGGACCTGCTCTGGCAGGGGGTTGGACTAGATGATCTCCAGAGGTCCCTTCCAGCCCCGTATCAGGATGCAGGTGATCCTGCATACCTCCTAACCCTCATACAGTCCTCAGAAGTGTTTGCTATTAAATGTTGTTTTCTTTTCTTGAGTTTCTTTCCTGTGGTAGGGGATCAGCGGTAAGGGAGAGTTATGGAAAGAACAGAGGAAATCCTTAGGCTTAGTTGGTTGGTAACAACTAGATGCTTTTTTTTGGAGGGGGGGGGGTGCGGGGGGGAATCTCTCTAGTGGAGGTGTCCCTGACCAGGGCAGGGGGGTTAGAACTAGATGATCTTTAAGGTCCCTTCCAAACCAAACCATTCTATGATTCTATGAATGTTTGCTTTTATTCTTAAATTTAAATCCTTAAGCTGCTAATATGGCTACTTTTTAAATGGGACCCTCCATAGACTTTCCCAAATTTACTTAGTGTGACTATTTGTAGTGTACCAGCCATGAAATTTGTACTTTGTCAGGCTTCTAAGTGGAGCATTGGGCAACTACTACTGTCTGTATCTGTAAAGGATTTGGGAGTCCTAGTGAAGAGCAGAGAGGAGAAAGGCAGTAGTGACTCCAAGAGCTTGTAGTCATCAAAAAAGCTGAATTTTACTTCAATGCAAAGAACAGGTTCCGCTCATACAGCATGTATGTAATTTGTGTGGCAATTGTCTATTACTGCAATTTCTGCCTGAAAGTTCAATGACTTATTATCACGTAGACCACTTTTTTTTTTTTTTAAACCTCAGTTTAGCTGCACTTCAGAGTGAAGATTGTGTTTAAAACAGAACCAACCAAGCCCCTCAGATGTTACTTAAACTCTTTGATGAATTGGGACTGAAAACACTTTATCAAGTGTTTAACAATTTACTCTTTAACTGAGGTGAAAAAGCTTGTACTCCAGTTTTCTAGCCTTTCAGGAAAATAAATAATCAGATTTCATATTTCTGACATTGACCTTTGTAGAAGAAAATATTTCAATTTTCTTTATACAAAACAATGAAGCAAAAGAGTTTTTGTTGTCCATACAATCCACTTTTAATTCTGATCCAAGCTGACTAAATCCAGTTACTTCAATTAAAATAGTTTTCATGATCGCTTTCATTCCTGCTAGAATGCTGGTTTTCTTTAAAGTAAATGACAGTATAAAGAAATAAAAAAAAAAATGCTGTACAAGAAGCTGTAAGGTCAGAAGAGATGCTGTAAGGTCATTTCAACATTATCGAGTCAGCTTCTATATGTGGGCTGGAGCATATGATTTTGTTTTATCTACATTATATATTATGTATTCTGTGTTTTGGTTTTAGATTCTAGAAAAATCCTGTATTTGTTTTGGAGCACTCTGAAATATTTAGTGGGTCAAAAAAATCTTTAAAAAATCCACAGTGTTGCTCTTGAAAGTAATCAGACACAAAAAGTTGCACTTAAAGCTTCATGTTTTTCTAAGATTCTATGGTATACTTGGATTTTTATAAATATTGAGAAATATTTTTATTAAAATGGGAACAAACTGCACAAGCATAGTGACATATTTTCAGTCTATAAAGTTTTAGATTTAAGAATATAATTTGGAAATAATTTCATTTGGAATTTAATGTGGTAAATCTGCCAAATTGTATACTTTATTGAATGACCAAGTTTCAGAGCTTTAAAGTGGACAAATGGCTAATTCTCAGTAGGTTTTGGTTTAACCCCAGCCAGCAGCTAGGACCCCCCCTTCCTCCCCAAAAGATATGGGAGAAAAGGAGGGAAAAGGGAAAAACCTCCTCCCTTGAGATAAAGATGGATTAATAGAACAGTAACAGAAAAAGGAAAATAGCAATAGTAATCATAGAATGCTTTGGGTGGGAAGCGACCTTTAAGATCGTGGAGTTCCACCCCCCCTGCCCTGGGCAGGGACACCTCCCACCACACCAGGTTGCTCCAAGCCCCATCCAGCCTGGCCTTGAACCCCTCCAGGGATGGGGCAGCCACAGCTTCTCTGGGCAACCTGGGCCAGGCTCTCACCACCCTCACAGTAAAGAATTTCTTTCTAGTATCTAATCTAAATCTCCTCTCTTCCAATTTAAAACTGTTACCCCTCATCCTATCACTACGCTCCCTGACAAAGGGTCCCTCCCCATCTCTCCTGTAGCCCCTTCAGACATTGGAAGGCTGCTCTAAGGTCTCCCTGGAGCCTTCTCTTCTCCAGGCTGAACAACCCCAGCTCTCTCAGCCTGTCCTCACAGCAGAGGTGCTCCAGCCTCGGAGCATCTTTGTGACCCTCTGCTGGACCCGTTCCAACAGGTCCATGTCCTTCTTGTGTTGGCGGCCCCAAAGCTGGATGCAGTACTCCATGTGGGGTCTCACAGAACAGAGGGGAGAATCATCTCCCCTCAACCTGCTGGAAGTGCACATTGCTGGCTCATGTTGAGCTTCTCATCAACCAACACCCCCAAGCCCTTCTCCTCAGGGCTGCTCTCCAGCCATTCTCTGGCAAGCCTGTATTTGTGCTTGGGATTGCCTCGACCCAGGTGTAGGACCTTGTACTTGGTCTTGTTGAACTTCATGACATTCACACTGGCCCACCTCCCAGACCTGTCAAGGTTGCTCTGGATGGCATCCCCCCACACTGTGTTTAGGAGTTGGGTGTTGAAGGTGGTCCTGGCAGTAGCGTTGCTCATCTCCGTGAGGTACGTCTGTGCCAGCCGTTGGTCACCTACTGCAGTGTCACCAGAGACGTGGAAATGACGGGGGGATTGGCAGTATCCCCAGAAGGGTGCTGGGGCTCTGCCGTGCAGTCAGGGCCAAAAGGGTTTGGAGATCATAGAATCATAGAATCATTGAGGTTGGAAGAGACCCTTGGGATCATCGAGTCCAACCATCTCCCCTACTCTACAAAGTCCTCCCCTACACCATGTCCCTCAGCACTGCATCTAAACGGCCCTTAAACACAGCCAGGGATGGTGACTCCACCCCCTCCCTGGGCAGCCTGTTCCAATGCCCGACCACTCTTTGGGTGAAAAATTCCTTCCTAATGTTCAATCTAAACCTCCCCTGTTGGAGCTTGAAGCCGTTCCCTCTCGTTCTGTCACTAATTACCTGTGAGAAGAGACCAGCACCAACCTCTCTACAGTGTCCTTTCAAGTAGTTGTAGAGAGTGATGAGGTCTCCCCTCAGCCTCCTCTTCCTCAAACTAAACAGCCCCAGCTCCTTCAGCCGCTCTTCATATGATTTGTCTTCTAGGCCCTTCACTAGTTGGGGATGTAACACCTTCACAGTGGTGGGCTGTAACACCTTCCTACCCTCAGTGTCACCCACAGACACATCCCCTACACTCCTTGTATGGGCTGCTGGCACCAATGTATCTGTAGATACCTGGCGCCTGTAACGCTTTCAAGTGTTTAGATGTAAAACTGTTGGGAAAAAAGAGCTGTACTACTTTTAGCAGTGCTGACCCCATCAGCTTTGAAGGCCTAGTTCCTTTTCTGGTAACTTAAGGTTTTATTAAGCATCTTTCATGGAAAAGGCCTAGAGTTACCACTGACCCCAAGCGAGCAGTAGTTGAGAGCACCCAATGATAGTGCTGTGTGTGCTATACGTAGTATTTTAAGCACACCCCTTGAGAGGAAAAAGTAAGACCTTTTTTTTTTTTTTCTTTCATCAGGCTGACTTCGATGGTGCTGCAGAAGATGTAAAAAAACTAAAAACAAGACCAACTGATGAAGAACTGAAGGAACTATATGGACTCTACAAACAGGCTACTGTTGGAGATATTAATATTGGTATGCCTACATATACTTTGCATTTACTCCCGTATCTTGATGAAATTAAGCAAATATTGTGCAAATCTGCACGATAATCCAAGGTATGCATTTATTTTGCAGATTGTCCAGGAATGCTAGACGTGAAAGGCAAAGCCAAATGGGAGGCATGGAACCTGAAAAAAGGTGTTAACCCAATTAAATTTACATGATGTAGTCATGTTTATAAGGACGACAGATGAGGAAAGATAATGACTCCTACTTTCCTTTGCAGGTTTATCAAAGGAGGACGCCATGAATGCCTATATCTCTAAAGCAAAAGCAATGGTAGAAAAATATGGGATCTAGAATACTCAAAATAATTCCCACTAACAACTAACTCTTCAGTAGCTAATACACTAACTCTGTGGAGAAGAATGCAATACTAACTCCTTATTGTGTAGTCTGACAGTAAAATCTTTTAAGAATAAGCTGTTTGACTGTAAAGGGTATTTACATACATACTCTATTTTTAGATTGTATCTTATTCTAAATAAATATGAACCTAATAAATTAAGCTTTCTGTAAGAATTGTGGATTTTTGTGGGTATTAAGTTATACTTAGCATTTTTACGGGAGCACACAAACAGAAAAGCTCTAAAAGTAAAATAATATAGCTGTCATTTTTTACGAATGAAGTCATGGAATGAAGTTTGTGCACATCCAAGATGAGAAAAGACGAAAACTTCTTTAAGAATGAAAGCCAATGTTTATTTAAAAAAAAATAATCACAAAAACTCTCCTTTTTAAAGGTTTACAAAGATCTGGAGGAACAGAGCAACTCTTAGGCACAACTGCACACAGCTGTACAGAAAGAATGACTTATTATGAAGTGCTTTGGACTAATCTTACACCTTCTGCTATTAAAATAGAGGGAAATACTCATAGACCAGCATTTTCTATACATTTTGTTATGTGTTTTGTCAAGAAAATTTCATTAGAGGGTTCCAGCAGGTAAAAGTGACCTCCAGGCAGCTCGTAAAAGGAGATATCTCCACTTGTTAGATCATGCCAGGCTGCAAAAGATATTTAAAGTGTCAGAGAAATGCCAACTATTGTGATCATTTTACATAACTATTTCAAAGTTATTATTAGGTAATTATTTTAAGTCCCATTGTTGATTTGTTTCATTTAAGAAGGAGATAAAAGACTCTAGAAGAGTCCTCATTAACTGATTCGATACAACAGGAAAATGCGTAAGAGGAAAACTCTTCAAGCAAAGTACCTTCTACATCATGTGATTTATCTTCAGTCCCATTAAAGCAGGTGATATCGCAAGAGAAGGGGATATTCCTCTCTGCCTTCTCGAAACTGTGATCACAAGAAGTAGTAGTAAGACTTTCCGTAAAATACCTATATTTGGGGTTTGCTTCCACATGCAAAATAGCTTTTTATTTCTCCTCCAAAGTGTAACAAACTTCAGGAATTAGATTGGGCAGAAAGGAATTACTGTAGCTGTAAGATTCTTAGCTCTTTACCCTACTGCAATTAGGTCTAAAATTTTAAAGAAAGAATGACTCAATAATTAGGAAAAAAAAAAAAAAAGAGCTTCAACCTGCAATGAAAATTTTCACCTACAACAAACAATTCTGTTGTCTGCTTCTAGTCAAGTTCTAGTGTTTCAGGGCCTTATCAGCGCCAGGTTCCTATGGCCAAAGTGGGTCCCACATCCAAGGGTGTCCTTGTCTTTGCCAGGGAACAAAACTCAAAGCACTCAGCTACGTGAGCATCTGGTGGGGACGCGGTTAGGAGATCAGGGATCAGGAGGCTGAATGCAGTCATCCTGAAGCACGATCAGTTGAGCTTATTAGCCTCAGAAAAAAAGAAAAGATGTGAGAATATTCCTTTTAGTGGCTACTGACTTTGGATCCTAAGTAGAACCGTGATGCCACCATCACATGGTCCCTGCTGTAATCACTGTAGTGGTTGCTACAGTAAGTGGTGTTTTCATCTAGGGCTTAAATCCCAGAATATAAATGGAAAAGCGCACAAAGGAGAAAACGATGATTTCATGTTCTTTTTATAACAGAAATGAGAACCAATTACAGAGAAAGAAAGAAAGAAGAAAACCTGAAATGATTGGACAGAAGTAAAGCTATAAAATACAAATATAAATGTAATACAGAATTGTAAAACTTACGAAAGTGTCTGAAGAACTCTAAGGTCTTCTCTGAAAGTAAGTATCAGATGTTTCTTAACATCTTCATTTTGTAGAAGCTCGGAAGGAGTTCCTCCTAAAATTTCTATATATTTAAGAATGTCTTCATCTTTTGCATCAGATACGGATGCAGTTTTGATGGGAACAAATTCTTCAGACTGTCAGCACCAGAAAAAACTGATCAGGTGTTGGATATAATACACTTTAAACAGTATTTTCATTAAGAGTTGTTTTAGTAAAAAAATACAATGAGTCTCTGTCTCCAAAATACAGTGTCTGATTAGGTTAACATCCACAGAGAATACTTCTTGGAAAGGGTTAGTAAACTCTGCTGAAAATACAGATTCTGAGTAAGCCAAGTACCCTCAAGGTCTGAAACTTCCACAGACAAATAGCCATTAATTTAATTTTGTTCAGTATCTCACTATTGAAATACAACTAATAAAATAATCTGTTTAAGAGGAAGAAAAGCCTAGCAGTGGACACAAATCTGACTAATGTAGGATTGGAGAGACCAACCAGTTATGGAAATTTGCAGGAATAATAATTGCTTCCATGAAGTATTAGCTCGCTCGTACTAGGATTTCTAAGAAGCTTCAGATTCAGAAGAATGGAAATAGCAAGTGATGACTGAGGCCAGGAGGGCTGGGAAAAAGCCACTTCACTGTTGTTCTCCTGAGAAAGATGAGTGGAACCACCAGCACCTCAGAAGGAGCCGAGCAGAGATTAAAAAGCCAACAAAGAATGAAGAGGGAAAGAAAGTACCAGACAAATGTACTGAGGGCTGAGGCAGGAGTTTAGGAAAGACGAGGTTAAGGCAGTCATTTCACCTTACAGAATAGGGAGTGGTACTTCGTATTTTGGTTTGATTACTTTTTAGTATTAAGCCAAAGGCCATAGTAAATAATAGGGCATTCAAAGAAGATAGCATTAGTGTAAGGAGACTGCTCTTCTGAGGCTGAGGTTAGCAGCAGGGAATATACTGTTCGCTCGTACTAGGATTTCTAAGAAGCTTCAGAAACAGAAGAATGGAAATAGCAAGTGATGACTGAGGCCAGGAGGGCTGGGAAAAAGCCACTTCACTGTTGTTCTCCTGAGAAAGATGAGTGGAACCACCAGCACCTCAGAAGGAGCCGAGCAGAGATTAAAAAGCCAACAAAGAATGAAGAGGGAAAGAAAGTACCAGACAAATGTACTGAGGGCTGAGGCAGGAGTTTAGGAAAGACGAGGTTAAGGCAGTCATTTCACCTTACAGAATAGGGAGTGGTACTTCGTATTTTGGTTTGATTACTTTTTAGTATTAAGCCAAAGGCCATAGTAAATAATAGGGCATTCAAAGAAGATAGCATTAGTGTAAGGAGACTGCTCTTCTGAGGCTGAGGTTAGCAGCAGGGAATATACTGTAACGTGGAATTCTCTGTCTGCCTTGGAATTTATTTCCTCTAAGAAAATAGAACATTTTTCTGCAAGTGTTACTGTTTTGTTTCGTACTATTAATGATTCTGTAACTTACGTGTGGGGCATGTGCCCCTGACAGAAAAAGATGGAACGGCTCTAGTCCATACTTTTCTTTCAAGTGCAGTGCAACTGCAAAACTAATGTAAGATCCAAAACTGCAGCAAAACAGAGAAATTAAAGCAAAGTAAGCAAAAACAGATATAAAAAATTGGAAAAGTTAAACATAATTTGAATTTCAGTGCTAACTGGCTATCTTGAACAGTTACAGAAAGCATATATGACATGTAAATTATAGTGATATTAGCCAATTGACATGAAGTGTATTCCTATGCAGTCTAGTTTTACAAATCAGATCTTTTTTTTAATCTCTCTCTTTTAGTAGTCTCCTCAATTTGCAGTAAGAACAGCTATTTTGAATACTTGGTTCTAAGTGATCTTAAAAAATCTATGTGTTTTATGAATGTTTCACCTCCTGCATTCATATAGAGCAAGCACTGGCACAAATATTAACAGTAAATACAATTATAATTTATCAGTGTAAAAAAACCAAAAGAAGCACAACGCTGCCATTTTTAGAAGACATTGTGCCTGAAGCAATAAGTAAATAACCAGAGTCTTTGAGATCAACAGCATTTTTTAGGATGACTTGACAAAAGACCTTTGCAGAAGTGTGTTCTCACAGAATCACATGGGGTTGGAAGGGCCCTCTGGAGACCATCTAGTCCACCCCCCTGCCAGAGCAGGTCCACCCAGAGCAGGTCCCACAGGAACGTGTCCAGGCGGGGTTGAATGTCTCCAGAGAAGGAGACTCCCCCACCTCCCTGGGCAGCCTCTGCCAGGGCTCTGCCACCCTCACAGCAAAGAAGATCCTCCTCATGTTTAGGTGGAACTTCTTATATTCAAGTTTGTGCCCATCTCCTCTAGTCCTGCCCCTGGGCACCAATGAAAAAAGACCGGCCCCAGCCTCCCTTGAAGTATTTATAAGCATTGATCAGATCCCCCCTCAGCCTTCTCTTCTCCAGACTAAAGAGACCCAAGTCCCTCAGCCTCTCCTCGTAAGAGAGATGCTCCAGGCCCCTCATCATCTCTGTAGCCCTCTGCTGTCCCCTCTCCAGCAGTTCCCTGTCCTTCTGGAACTGGGGAGCCCAGAACTGGTCCCAGTGCTCCAGATGGGGCCTCCCCAGGGCAGAGCAGAGGGGCAGGATGACCTCCCTCCACCTGCTGGTCTCCCTCTTCCTGATGCCCCCCAGGATGCCCTTGGCCTTCTTGGCCACAAGGGCCCATTGCTGGCTCATGGTCATCCTGTTGTCCCCCAGGACTCCCAGGTCTTTCTCCTCAGAGCTGCTCTCCAGCAGGTCAGTCCCCAAAGCTTTTGCAAATGAAGGGAAGAAACTATCTAATCTGAGAGTTCAAAGATAAAGCTCCTTCACCAGGGTGTCCAAAGATGTATATAAGTTTACCTGTGGCCAAAAAATGCAAATGGTTTTTCTTGCAATTCTTCTAACAAAACACTTGAAAATTCATCAGCTATGGTTGCCATGTCTTTCGCAAAGGGCTCCTTCAGACGAGATTCTCTTCCAGGGAGCCTTACAGAGGACACTGCAGAAGAGGTGGAGCAGGGGTGGGAAAAGAATAATAGTTATTTCAAATAGAAACAGTAAAATAATTTTAATTGTTTTTTTAATCTATTCTGCAGAATATAGAGATTATATAAATTTATCTTTCTTACAGCTGATACAGTGTATTTGCTGTTGCTATTACTGTCTTTTAATCCTGTGAGAGATGAGGTTTCCATCCTTTCCTTTACTCACAAATGTTGCCTCTCAAATTCATCTGATTGGTAAACTCCTTGTGTTAGAAATCCACAAGGTCCTGATCTCAGCTGAGGTTTCAAAGCAGCTTTATTACGATTAGT